GCCCAGGGCCTTGGGCAGGGGTCCCGGGGCGAGGCTGTGTGGCTGGGCGCTGGGAGCGGTGGGGGTTGCAGGAGGGACCGGCCTCCCCAGCCCAGCCCAGCCCAGCCCCGGGGCCGGTGGGGCAGGACCGGGCAGGAGCGGCCGCCCCCGCGGGACCAGCGCGCACACACATGGCCTGTCACACACTTGCGGGCACACACAGCTCGGGATCACACACATATAGAGATACAAACGTGCACACACACAGACACAGCACACCCTCCGACATGCACAAAGCTCCAAGACGACACCCCCAGACGCACACAGCTCACACATTGATATGTGTGCACACACAGTCAAATGTGATCACACATGCGGTGCTCACTAGCCCAAGGCCTGGCACATGTGCTGCCTGCACACACTCAGACACATAGACACAGATTCAAGGACATGCCTCCACCCTGTTCACACATGTAGAAAAACGGGCATATTCAGCCCTTACACAGACACACCCATGCACACGCAGACACAGCTGTACACCCAGATACACAGTTCACACACATGCAAGCACAACAGACACAGCCTGCCCACATACGGCACCCTGCATGGGTGTGCAGTTCACACACACAGGTACAACCACGCTGACGTGCAGGTGAAGACTCACATTTAGCTGCACAGAGACACATCAGAAGCATGCCCAAGCCCACACTCAGATTGACACACAAGTCCATGTGCGCACACACACGTGGCTAACATCACCCTCAACTTAGCCCCATGTCAGGTAGCCCCAGTGTGAGTTCACAAACACACACAGACCCCTGTCTGGGTGAGTGTCCTCTCAGCTTAGCTGTCCCATGGGGAAGAGGACACATGCCATGTGGGCCCAACCTCACATCCAGCTTAACGCATTCTGTCTTTCCCTTTCTATCTTTCTCTGTCCTTCTCTGCTTCTTTCTCTCTGTGTCTACCTGCTTCTAGTTTCTTCTTAATGTCTGTCTGCTTCTGTTTTTCTCCATCTCCCTCCCTCTTTCCATCTCTCTCTCTCTGACATATGCACACACTTGCACACACACAGGTAGCCCCACACCTGCCTACACACTCACAATTCTCCACCAGCTCAGACCCAGCCACACCCTGCTGGCAGGACAGTTAGACTATGCCACACCCTAGAGGGACACAGCCCTTAGGGATGGGGACGCTGGACAGGGCAGCACCTGTTTGTGCCAGCTTCCCCACCCTTCGACACACACCCTTTCCCTTTAACACCCAGTGCTGGCTGCCCATGGGGAGTCTGTGCTCACTCTCAGGCACATACCTTAGCCCCTCTCCCAAAAGCCACCATGCAGGCTTGCCCAGCTGGAGATGATGCCCATCAGGGGAAGGGGGACCCATGGCCCCAGGATTCCCAGTCCCTGCCCTCTCCAGTACCCCAGGACCTGGGCGTGAAGCCCCAGACCTCCCTTTAACACCCAGCCCCCCCCATTCTGCACATCTTAACTCTGGCAACTTCCTGAGCCCCCACATCTGGCACGAGTCAGCCCCTCCTCCTGCCTGCCCCAGCCTTGCAGTTCCCAGGGCTCGAGCTGGCAGGGACAGCTGCAGCCCCAACAGCTGGGGCCAGGGCGGGGGGCCATGGGAACTGTGGATGGGGGGGATCCCTGCACCCACAGAGACACCCCCAGCCCAGTGCAGCTGTTGCCTGGGGAGGGAGGGAGGGGGTCTGTCACTCTGGGCTGGGGTTCCTGCGTGCTTGGCTGATCCCCTACCTTCCTTTGCCCCCACACAGCAACCCCTTGCCTGGATGGAAGCCCGTGTGCTAATGGAGGTCGCTGCACCCAGCTGCCCTCCCGGGAGGCTGCCTGCCTGTGAGTGCCTGGCTCAGAGCCATCAGGGGGCCCTGCCTGGGGAGGTGGTTTGTCTTCTCCCTCTGCCTCCATGTTCACCATGGATGCTTCTACCACTTCCTATATGTGTGGCTTGGGCAACTTCTTGTGTTTCACCAGCGGGAATTGAGCAGGGTGAAAGAGCAGGGGCTCCGGAGTCTGCCTGGCTTGGGTTCCAATCCCACATCACGTTGCTGACTGGCTGGGAATTAAACCCTTTAAACCTCAGTATCTGTTCTGGAAAATGGGCCCAGTAACCTCAGCTTCACAGAATTCTTGGCCACTTGAGGTCACATGTAAAACTCCTGATGGAGGCAGGTATTATTCAATCAACAAACTTTCACGGACCAATGGCAGTAGCTTGGTAGGGTGAGGACACGCTCCACACCTTCCCATATCTCAAGATTTAGTAGTGGATCAGTAGAGCTAGGGCATGTTGCTGATAACACCATGGTCAAGGGTTCTGATCCCCACAAGAGCCAGCTGCAAAAAAAAAGAAAAAAAAAAAAAAAAAAAGAGAGATAGAGATTTAGCGGTGGAAGGCACAGGAGGCCTGTAATACAGTCCTAGTCTGCCATTTTCTTGCTGTGTGACCCCGAGCTAGTCAATTCCCCACTTATTGCATCCGTGAAATAGAAGTGCTTCTCCCTGGCTTGTGACTGTGAAGGGGCCCAAGAATTTAGTTGTTAGATTATAAAAGGAATGGCAAAGGTTGGGGGCAGGAGAACAGTGGCTAGGAAAGAGCTGGGCTGAGACAGACAGCTCAGTTTGAATTCTGGGCTCTGGGACACCTCGAGCAAGTGCTTTAAGCTTTCTGAGCCTCAGTTTTTGCATCTGGAAAATGGGACAAAAATAACTCTTCCTTTATGGAGTTGGTTGTAAAGATGAAAAGAGACCCTTTGTATGATGCACTCAGCACAGTGCTCAGCATACATAAGTACTCAAAAGTAGGGGTTATTATTATAAATACTAATGGTAGGGACACAGGAAATAGGTTCTACAAGGAGAAACCTCTCAAGGTTATGGGGAAAGGCTTGGCTCCTTCATATGCTATAATTAGTAATAGTTTACCCAGTAGCTATTAATCAATTCATTAATGTATTCATTTATTCAACACCATGTGTGTCAGGCACTGGGTGAGGCTCAAGCTGGGTGGGTTGGGGTGACTTTAGACCCAGAGGCGCCCCTTTGAAGTTATACACGTATTTTCTTTGGCTGGAGCCCCACTTGGACTAGCATGTGTGGGGCTGAGCCTGGCTAAGAGGGGTTCCTGGGATTGGGGGTTCTGCGATGGTGGGAATGAGGGAAAGTGTGACCTTACCTTAAGCCGCTCACCTGGGAGGCTCAGCCGCTGGGCCGGACGCCCTGCGCAGTGGAGTTCTGCGCCTGGAATACTGCCGACAGGTGAATGCGCCCGCGGCTGCCCCGCCCCCCGACAGGTGAATCACCGGCGAGCTCGGCCGCCCGGAGCCCGGATCGCCCGGAGTGGAGCGGTCTCGGTCCCAAGAGTTGGGTTGTGGAAATCACTCCCTACGGGGACCCCCCTGTCTCCTTCAAGGTCTCAAATACTCCTGTCCTTTCAGGGACGCCCCAAACTGTCATCCCCCCGTGGATCCCCCAAGTCTCCCCTCACAGTAGACTCCCGAGCCCTTGTCCCTGTCTCTTAGTCCTCGCCTCCCCCGCTGCCCCCCCCAAGTCCGCGCTGCGCCCCCGCCCCGTCTCCCCCAAAGCCCAGGCCGTGGGGCGGGGCGCTGGCTGGGGCTGGAACCGGCCCGACC